GTGGAGGCTGGCAAATCAGAAGGCTGCAGAGCTGGTTGCAAGTTAGAAATTCAGGCAAAAATGATATGGCACTCTTGATTCTGATGACTGCAAACTCAAACAGATTCCTGTGTTTCAGTCTGGAGGCAGAATTCCTGAAGGCCTTCAACTGACTGAATGATTCTTACCCATATTATGGAGGGTAAATCTTATTTAATCAAAGTCTACTCATAAAAAAATGTTAAATCACATCCAAAAAATACCTTCACAGCAACATCTAGACTGTTTGGCCAAATATTTGGGCACCATAGTCTAGCCAGCTTGACACAGAATATTAACCATCATAAAAAGTAAACTTACCAAGAGCTAATAAAAGCAAAAGAATTCCAAAGTGGGTCAGATCAGAGTGAAAATGATTAGGTATCTGAGGAAGGCTGGCAGGTTGTGTGTGTGGGTGGAAGACGCAGCAAACTTGCAGATAACTTGAGTCTGCTGGAGCTTGAAAATGATGTCCTGAGCTAAGCCTGCAGTAAAGGCTGTAGGTAACTAAGAGCAGTCAGAGGCACGCAAAGATGTCAGAACTGGGACTACTTAGGCTTCATTACACCAATGCACTTCATCACATTGATTTTCATTGTTTGTTTTCATTTTCTTGTTTGCTTATTCATTACATGCTGCTCTGCTCAGAGCATTTTGACTTCCTTGAACATTTATTTCTTAGCTCTTTGGTGCTGGTTTTGCTTGTAAGCTGCATTATTCATTTCTGAATAGTATGAGTAACACTTCATACTAAGGCAGTTGTTGCTTGTTGACTGAACAGGCAAGCTGTAATTTCTTTGTACTCCATAGTGATGTCAGTTTTCTTCTACTCAAGAAGGGCAGTTGGCACAAGTAAGTTGCTTTCATTTCACTCCAGTTTTTTTTTTTTTTTTTTCAGCTTTAGGTTCTGGTGTACACAGGCAGGTCATACAGGGTTGTTGCATAGGTGCATACATAACCAGGTGGTTTGCTGCCCCCAGTCAGGTACTCAGCAAACTTTGCGTATTCTTTACTCTTCAATCCTGACTTAATTATCCTGTGGGCCCACCAGGTATGCACATGGTATCTAAGTGAATTATTTTGTTCACAGGCTCCACTATCTGATTTTTACATTCCCATTTAGCATTTGCAGAAATTCAATTTTCTCCAAATTTGGTTACTTTGGATAATACCATTACTACTGTGGTTTTTAATCTATTTGAAAGTCTTTGGGGTCTGTAAAAGGCACAGGGCTTTAGAAAAGTAATTCTCACATATTGGTGTGTGTAACTTAGAGGCCATGTAAAACGTAGATGACTGGCTCCACTTCAAAAAAAATTATGATTTACTATATATGAGGTGGGGCACAAATATGCATTTTAAACAAACTAAGCTTTCTCTCTTGTATGATTAATAGTGATTTGTTAATAATTCATTATGATATATACTTTAAAATGGAAACTTTTATTTAAGAATAATTTTAGATTTATGAAATAGTTGCAAAGGCTGTACAGAGTATTTTCATGCACATTTCACTCAGCTTCCCCTAAAATTAATATCTTACATTGTACATGCATTTAAACTAAGAAATTAACAATGACATATTACTATTAACTAAACTTCAGACTTAATTCAGATTTGTAGATTTTTTATGCCCATGTCCTTTTTCAGTGCCAAAATCCAACCCAGCCTACCACATTGAATTTAGTTGTCATGTCTCCTTAATCTAAAGTCTATGACAGGTTCTCAGCTTTTACTTGTTTCCCACGACCTTTATGGTTTGAAGGAGTACTTGATAATTTTGTAGCATGTCCCTGGACTTGGGTTTGTTAGATGTTTTCCACTCATTAGTGTAGAATCTTGCATTTTAGGGAAGAATACTACAGAGGTGAAGTGTCTTTCTCATTACATCCTACCAGAGGAGTGCATGATTCCAACGTGACTTCTCACTGCTGATATTAACATTTATCTCTTAGTTAAGGAGAGGACTACCAGGTTTCTCCACTAAAAGTCACTATTTTTCCCTTTCCATATTCTACTTTTTAGAATCCAGCCCACACTCTGTGGAGGGCATTTAAATTCCACCTCCTGGAAGGAGGAGTATCTATGTACATCATCTGAAAATCTTTGTAAAATTATTTGTACCTTTTTGCTCAATTATTTATTTGTACAATTATTTATATCAGTATGGACTCATGGATATTTTATTTTATATTGTGTTATAATTTTTAAATTTTAATTCATTTTGTTACATAAATTGTTTTAACTTTGGCCACTGAGTGCTCTTTCAGTTTGGCTCCTGTGTCCTTCTAATCTGCTTTTATTCTTTTGTTTTCTGGGAACATCCTTATTTTCTGGCATTATATACTACTCCAGGCTCATCTCATATTTTCACTGCCCCAGGCGTAGAATGATTCCTTTCTCCAAAGATGTCTCTGTGTTTTGCTCCTGTTGTTTTGGAGAATGGTATTTAGAAGCCAAGATCTGGGCACTGGATGTACTTGTTGTTACTTGGGTGTCATTTTTTTCTAGTTTCTCAGCAGAGACACAGCTATAAAATATATGCATGTATACTAATCTATATGCACACACAACTATAATTATTTCTTTAGCTATATATCTCTATACATGCTTAACTGTGTATTATACATTTTTTGTGTTTTCTTAATAAGTTTTAAGAATTATTTACGTATACTAGATGTGAATCCTTTGTATAATATTCTACTTTGAAAAGTGAATTAAATGAAGTGGCTTTAAGGAATAAAAACTGTTTCAATGAACAGTCACATGAAAAAATTTTGTATATACCCAATTGAACTTTAGGTGATTCAATATGTGTTTTTCCCTGGGATTATTTGGAATATAGAAGAATGTTTTTCAAACCCTCATGCATTTTAGGTAAGTGAGTACTCATATGAGCTTGCTAGTTACAATATTGTTAAAGAGAATTGTTGAATCATTGGATCTTGAATTTAACATACATTCCATGGAATTTTTATAAGTAAGAAAGTTAAAAGTAAATACGTATCAAATTTGATCTTACCAATTTCACATTATGAAATCTACTAAATATCTTGAGACTTTAACATAGATTCTTATAATCAATAAATGAAATATGTGTGATATGTAAATATATAATGTTTGCTTCTCCCTTAGACACTGAATATTTTTATTTTCAAATTGTAGTAATACTATATGACAATAATTCACTCAATGCATTTTCTGTTCCAGACACTATACAAAATAATGTTATATAGATTATCTTGATTTACACATAATCCATTTCTTTGATTTAATGAAAAACCTGAGAGGAATATATATTGTGTCTATTTTGCAGAGGAGGGGCCAAAGGGAAGAGAGGCATTGATCATGCCTCATTTACAAAGAGGAACGACGATATAGCTGCTAGTAATTGTAGAAAATATTGTTCAGCTGCACATAAGAAGGGAAATAAAAAACCTTCTTTTCAAAAATCAGTAAGAATGTACAGAAAAAAATGTGATGAGAATATGATATGCTTAAGGAATAATGCAGACTGTATTTGTCTATAATTAATTTTTTTATAAAAATACTTTTCATAGTATTGTTTTAAGCACTGTAAGAGAGATAAAAGTTTAGCTGATATTATTCAAAGTAAAATCAAGGATTACAACTGGACTGGGGGGTATAATGATATTCAGATTAGAAAGAAAGAAGGGAAACTGTCTTTATTCACAGATGACATTATCATATATATATAGAAAATTCAGTGAAATCTACAAAAATGCTCATGAACATAATGAGTGAATTTACCAATGCTGTATGATACAAATGGATATACAAATATATATATATATAATATATATATATAATATGTATATATATGCTAACAACAAAAAATTGGAAATTGCAATCAAGAAACAATACTACATATAGTATCAAAAACAATATTTAGGAAAAATCTGGAGTGTAAGATGTGAAAGAGACACTAAAAATACAAAATATTCCTGAGAAAATGAAAATCACATCAACAAATACAAAGATGTACCTTCCTCAATGGTCAGATGATTTCCTGTTGTTAACATGCCAGCTGTCGTCAAATTGATCTATAGATTCAACAGAATCCTAATCAAAATCCGAACAGGACTTTTTTTAGACATTGACAAACTGACTTTAAAATTTCTGTAGAAATTCAAAGGACCTAGAAGAACCAACTTCATAAAAGAACACTGTTAAAGAACTAGTACAGTGTAATTTCAAGATTTATTATAAAACTAATCAACAGAGTGTGAAATTTGTGTGAGAGAAAAATCAATGGAAGAGAAAACAGTGCCCAGAAACTGACCTTGGAAAAAACAGACAACTGGTATTCTTCCAATTTCCAAATGTAATTCAGTGGAAAGATAAGTTTTTGAAAAATAGTTCTGAGATTATCAGATATACATAAACAATAGGTATATTTTATAATATAAACTTTGATCTATATCTTGTACTGTTAACAAAAATTAAAACAGATTTAAATTAAAAAAAACTTTGTGACCTAGGGATAGGCAAAATTTTCATAGATACATCAAAAGAAGTACCATCTGTAAAAGAACATATAGATAAATTGGACTTCATCAAATTAAAAAAACTTCTCTTTGACATTGTTAAGACAATGAACGGGAAAAGGTAAGAATTAAGTGCAAAATTTGCAAATCATATATCTGATAAGTGACTTACATCTGGAACACAGCAAGGATTCTCAAAACTATGATATCTAGCAACACAATTTAAAAATGGGAAAAAAATGAACAGCAAATATAGAGATGTTGAATACCAGCAGTCATTAGGAAATGCAAATGAAACCCAGAATGAGATTCCACCACACACCTGCTAGAATCCGGGCTGCGCATGTGACGTCAGAGCTGCCCCGCCTCCCGGAAGAACCTGGGTTGTGCGTGGCTCGCGGTCTCCTAGCGACCAGAGCCGCAGGGATCGGAAACCGCTGAAGCAGGAGAGGTGGCAGCCCAGCGAGGACCACCATGGGGGACCAGAGGCCGCAGGACCGGCCGAGGTCCCCGGGCATGGACTCCACTCCCCGGTATTGTGACAAACGGCCTTCCAAGTGCTTCGCGGAGCGCAAGCACAGGCGCATGAAGTTGCCCCCCATAGACACCGAGAACTGGATATTTGTGAAGGAGGGCATGGACGACTTCCGCTACGGCTGTCCGTCTCCCGAGGATATGCTCATTTGTCGCCGGGACGACTTCTTACTCCCCAAAATCTCTAGCAGAAGTCCGCATGCTGACCCACAAAGCAGGCAGAAAAAGCTACTCAAGAAAGCGGCCCTATTTTCCAAACTGTCGCCAGCCCAGCTAGCACGGAAGGCGTTCGTAGAGGAAGTGGAAGGCCAGCTGATGGCTGAGCATTCCTTGGCCATGGACCCCGATGTGGCAGAAGATATGCCTCCAGATCTCCTACGACAGGTGCTGAAAGTGCTGGATCCTGAGAGGA